TAACCAAACCAGGAAGCTGCCGCTGCTCCTGTGACATCTGACATGGTAATGCTGCAAAACCAGGATACTCCCTGACCTGCTTACAGGTACCATGGCAATTCCATCCGTGCCCATATTTCCCTAGCTGAGGGTGTTGTAGCCTACTTGAATGCATTAAAAACCACTGGAACAGGCTGTCTGAATAACCAGGGGTGATTTAAGAACTGTTAGAGTACTCTTCAAACCACCAAGAAAATGAGTGTTGGTCCTCCCTCAGACCTGAGTGTTGGAATTATTCAGCATTTAATGATGAGTTGGGGGATGAATTTGAGGGAAGGAGATAAGGGATGAAAGTAACCTTTTAAAGGAGAAAATGGGACATGCCTATGGGCACTCCAGGTACCCTTTAAATAGAAGAAACTGGGATCTGATTTCTCTATAATTCCTTCTCTAATTTCTCTGAATTAGCCTGTGGGAACTTCTCAGCCCTCACAAAACAAATTGAGCTCCCCACAAGTCAGACCCGAGGAACAGACATCAGACTTGCTGGTGAGACCCCTTCTGGCAGAAGACCTCAAATAGGCTCAAGCCTATTTGGGTCACCCATTAGTAAAGAAATCACCTTCAAAGAAGTCAGTTCAACCTAAATTCCATCAAACTTAATAGTAATAAACAATAAACCAGTGAAAATACTAACCTAGGAAATGAACAAACATTGTGTGTGAAGCAAACTTGAGATTTTCAAAGGTGTTGCTTGACATTAAATTTGATTAAGTAGCTGTGTGATAGCATCTTGTCTGAGACTTGGTATAGACACCTCTGTAAACCTTAATTCACAGGAGTCAAATCTGCCTTTGGCTTTCAAGCTGCAAAATGATCTGGTCCTTTCATACCGCTCAGCATCTTATCCAGTGGAAGTGATTACGGAAGAATCAGGAATTTCTAGAGCTGAGGATTTCCCTCTCTGATGAGGATTTCTGCCTCCATTCCCACTTTAAGGCAAATTAGGTGAAAGGAAGAGAATCATGATCAGGGTACCTTATGCCATGCTCCAGTTGCTTTTAGTTACCCCCGGTGGCTGGAGGGAGCACAGGCATCAGTTCCATATGCTGAGGAGCTCAGGGATTATCTGGAACCTTGGCTAAGCATCTTCATTCCCCAGCATATTCATTTACTGGATGAAGGGTGGAAAAGAAAGGGTCCCATCCACAGAATTACTCTTACAAACAAAGGCCAGGGTGTGGGGGTGCCTCTTGCTCAGGTCTAACATGAAAACAAGGGGTTGAAATTCTTTTTCAGCCACTGAGTCATGTGAGAAAAAGTTCAAAGTCAGTCAGGGCTGGAGATACTTAACCACAAAATTTCAGGAATTAAGGGGAAAAAATACTGCATGAAGTGCCTTATAAACACAGTCCTCTAAGAGACAGTGCAACATTTAATAGCCCTGGAAATTGGCAGGCCAGATGTGGAATTTGACATTCTGAATTAACTATTCAGATGTAACTTTTTTCACATGAAGTTGGGTTTTTTTTGGAGGTTTTTTTTTTTTTTTTGGTAAAAAGTAGAATATGGTTTACAAAAAATTGTATGAGCGCACCGAACAACTTAATTAGGTGGCATGTAACAGAGCTGCATGCAGCCGTTAGCTACAAATGTGCACTTTGCTGGCTTTAGCTCTAATTAGTTTTTATTCATCTGCATATATATTAGCTGCTTCATGCACAAACATGCAGTGACACGCACAAGCTGGAGCTTTGCCATTCCAGCTGAAAACACAAATGAAGCACTATGTGCTAAACTGGTGCTGAAGAAAAAAAAAAAATATTTCTTAGTATTTAACCCTGCTCTCTCACATGTCTTGTTCCAGGGAGAAGTGGAACTGAGGAATTCGCCAAGAAGTTTCATTTCTATTCCTGCCCTCAGATTTTGGGTTCCTGACATGGTCAGACTGGAGGGTGCAGCAAATCCCACAACTAGTGAGAGCTTCTCAGCATTGTGCAGCTGGCTGGGATGGCCGGGAGGCAGCGTGCTGCAACCACATGCCCCGTGGACTGCCGTGCACTCGGATTGCCATGGTAACCCTGGCTTTGGGGGGAATTCAGGCTATCCCGGCTTTCCCACGTTAGGGACTTCACAGCCAAGAAGCTGTGAATAAATTCTGCTTACGCTGAGCAGAACATAAATTAAACAATGTGGGATGTGAGGCACAGACCTGCCAGTGCTGCACCCTATTAATTCACATTTTCTCAGCAATTTCTGTTCAAAATTTGGCATTATGCTTGGGAGTGACAGAAAGCACCTCTCAGGAGATGACTGAGAAACAAAGACAAGATTTAGCTCGGTTGTTCACATACTGACATTAATGGCAAGAACAGTTTTATAGTTTCACTTTTATGTCAAATCTTTCTCACACTTTATATGCTCACTGTCTATAAAATCAAGCACCAGGTTTGCATACAAAAACTACCAACTTTTGTACAGAAATTTAAACTTTGTACATGCCTTTTGCCACAGGTGGTGTGTATGCTTCCAGAATAGCTGCTACAATCCTTTTAGACGTTTGACCACAATAAGAACTACTCAGATTAAATTCTGCAAATAATTTTTTTTTAAGTTAATACTCCTGCTGTGATCAATAGAATTAGCAGAATTAAGAAATGGAGAAGAAAACATCCAAAAAATCGTAAGCATTTTTAATGGCAAGAAGATTGCTTTCTGTAGAAGTTCTCCAAAGCCAGGTTCACCTGTAAATAAAACCCACAGAAACTCCCAGTTGGGTGTTTTTTACATCTCCCATGACAATGGGAGTTTTATGTCTGTGTAACTTCACACTGCACCAGCACCTGCTCTGAAGGGTTGAACATTATGTAGTAAATAAAAAATACCAGTGTGACAGCTTTTTGAGGCGTTCAGCAAAGATACAAAGTTGAAATTAAGCTGCTTTCAGTAGCAAAGGCACTTTTTTATTACATTGTACCAGGGACACCTCAAGACCTCCCTCGGAGTTGTTATTTTTTATAGAGAAGCCACACAAACCCTTCCACTTTGCTAGAACACCTGGTCACTGCGAGAGCTGCCTGAAGTTCTGTGACCTGCCCCAACACAGCACAAGAAACTGAAAAAAATGAGAGCTCAGCTGCCATCCATACAGGAACTGTACACACTGAGCACTTGGAAAAGGCTTTCAGCATCCAAAACCCATCAAGTCAGAGAAATTACCGAATTCAAACTCATCCAGGATGGCCAACTTCAGGGATTTTAATGGGGTCTATTACATCAGGTTTCACAAGAACAAGCCTGTTGTTTTCACTTCAGCCTGCTTTAAGAGAGGCATGTGTAATGCTCTCAGGAATGAGGCAGGAGCAGGAATAGTCCTGTGGACGGGACTATTTAATGATTAAGCATTGGTTCCACACAGATTCCCACGCAGAGACCTGCATGTCTCTGCCTTTCACAGCAGCTGAGTAAAGCCCTGCTTTCTTCCCTCCCTGAACCTACAGTTCCCAGTACACATTGCAACATACCCTGTTCCTGTGAAGCAATCCTCAGCTGCAACAGTTTTTACTGAAACACAGATTCTCCGAAAGTTCCTGAACTTCTGCTTACAACTCCTTCCCATACCCTTCAGCTCCCCCCCACAATTCCTATTTTTATGGTTGAAACAGTGAGCTAATTTCTCTCAGTTCCACCAGAGCACCAAGATACTGGCAGAGAAAAGCAATAAATCAAAGAGAGAAGACAACCTAGAAAAATAATTGTGCTGGAACACATTTTAAGGATATAGATGATTCATGCGGAAGAAGAAGGGCATAAGGCAGTGATTAGAAATAAATTTGAATTGAAAAATACGCAGCCAAAATGCCTGAATTAAGAACATCCTGAGTACCAGAGAGAGCTTGAAGACACAAATCTGTGTTAGTAAGCTTTCTGCATTAAAAAATTAAATAAAGCAATTAGATATCAGAAAGGAGACAATTATTTTAAGAATGAAAGTCTGGAGGAAATGCAGCTGTCTGTGTATGGAGAATGGAGAAAAGGAAACCAAAGCATTGTGTTTGAAATGTTCACAAAAATCAATTTGTGAACAAAAGAGGATTTTTAATTAATGGTCTAGAAAACTTCTTTTAAGTCAGTAATGAAAATAATTCAATTTAAGAAAAGAAATCCACCTCAATCTGTGATTATAAAGGATATCTTCAAAAATCATAGGCAATGGCAAGGAAGTACTGAAAAGGACTGAGAAGTGACATGGAAAAACAATCCTCCAAGATGAAAATTCTCCCAAGATGGCACTTTTAATTCTCCACGTGTTTTGATGTGCTGTTTTCTCAAGGCTGTGAGGAAGGATTACTCTCATGAGATGAAAAGCAAAAAGGTTTGAGTAATTCCTCACAGGCAGATACTCTTGCAGAGCATCCTAAAGGATTTGATAAAATGGGCAATTAAGTTGTCTTGCTCATTCATAGCTTTAAGTGCAGCCTGACACTCCACAGAGCACCCAAGCCTCTGTCAATTCATTCTGAGCACGTCCTCTAAAAGCCTAACCAAGCTCACACTAAACCAGAAGCCAGGCTTCTAATTAATTACAGAACAAATACAACATCCTTAGCACAGCATGGCTAGCAGAGGAAAAGAGAAGGAAGCCTACCCACAGGCAGCCTGTCTCCCAAGCACACTGGGACTTGAGTTTAGGCTCCTGAGGGCTGGCAGGGAATCTCTTTTTCCTTACACCTCCCTGAATGACAGCATTCAAATGCTGCTGCTGGCAAACTACAGCCTGTTTAGCACTTCTGAGAATCTCAGTGACAAAACACTTTGCTTTTTGTCTTTAATGTCCCAAGAAGGTCACTGGTAACACAATGCCTGTCTAGCACCACTCCTTGCTTTTAAAGTGTCCTTAACATCCCCTTTCTCCCAGTCAGAGATCTCACTGCAGACAGCAATCCCATCAAACAAGGAAAAAAACCCCGTTCCATTTATTTTGTTTTTTAAGGAATTACTTTTAATGAAATGTACGCAGAATTCTACAATAGAAAACTTCAATTCAAGTTATAAAGGTATGTATATGAGTTCAAGGTGTTTAATTTGAAAATAAAAGACTGTCAACTGGATCAGAAAACATTCCCTTATAAATTGCACTCTTTATCCCTCCTCCCAATAAAAATATTTTGTTCCCTTCGTTTCAGTTGATTTTGCTTTCACATAAACAACATTTTAATCTCTCATAAAAACAGTCTTAATTGGCCCTGAGGTATGGCACAGATTGATGCAGTCTAGGTCATTGCTTTCAGACACAGTAAAAGGATGTACAAAATCCTTAAAGAAACTTTTTGTCTCCAGAAGCAGAATATTTCTTGTAGCTGATGAGTGCTTGGCTACAACCAACAGGTTATTCCAATTGATTCCTAAAATATCCTGGCTCTATGCAGTAGGCAGTATACTCCTCCTATTCCAAATGAATCTCCTCAGTGAAGCAGAAGACTTATTAAAAGTGGGTAAGAAAAGCACTTCAGCAGAGGGATTTGACTTGGAGCTGTTGCAGAGCACTCACATAACTCATCCTGCTCACTTCCACTCCCCTGCTCTGCTCCCAAGGATTGCTCAGAGGCAGGAAGGAAGAACTGCTGGAGCAATCCTTTTCTTTACTCTACAGATACTGCAGAATGGATTACTCCTGGTGTCTATGAAACAATCATCTTCAAAACACATCTGAGCTGGTCATTCAGCTGAACCTCCGCATCTCCTCCTGGGAGCCTGGAATTAACAATTGTGGGAGAACTCTGCCTGCCCAAAAGGCAGACAGGTGGCAACTCCTGTATTGCCCTTTGTTAGGATACAACCAGTGATACTTAATATACTGCAATTGGAAAAATACTGAGAATCAGCACACAATCCCATAATGGTTTGGGCAGGGAGGGACCTAAAAGATGGTCCAGTTCTAACCAGTGACTCCTTCCACTTGACCAGGTTGCTTCAAATCCCATACAGTGTGGCCTTGAACACTTCTAGGAATGTGGAGAAGAATCATTGAAGGGAAAAAAACCCTGACTGAAATTATTTTTCTATCATGCGATTTATGGCAGTTTCCACTAACTACGATTAAGTATTCAAGCCTCACTGTTTGAGCAACAGGTACCACATACAATGATTGAAAATGGTCAGTGTCACGACGTTTCTGCAGACCAGTGACAGGTTATGTGCTGACACCTGGCCTTCACAGCAATGGCACTATATAAAAACAACTTGGAAAATAGCTGAAGTCCCACAGGTGCAGCAGCAATAAAGCCTCTTCCAGTATCTAGCCAGGCACTTGGGAGATGTTTGCAGAAACACAGGATCCTACAGCTGTTCAAGCAGTAATGATTTTATGGGATTCTCCCCGCTGAGGCTTCTACAGCCCTGCATGTCCTGGACTGTGTAATTGTGCTATTTCTCCAGCCTTAGGTCAGGCATGAAGGCCACTGACTGAAGTTTGTTCCAGATGAAAGCTGAGAATCTGATAGAGGTTTATGAATCCTGTTCCCTCTGTGAGTGACTCACACCTTCCAGCACACACTAGCAGCCTCTGTGACAGAGGTCATAGAAGGATTCCCAGCAAGAGGCCCCAAAGCATTCACAGCTTTGAAAAGAGTCTGCTGTAAACATCTGTGAGACACACAACCTCTTGGATAATTTCAGGAGAACACTTCTTTCAGGATGCTGAAGGCACTTGGTGATTGAAGATATTGGCTCAAGTAACTGAAGACATTTGATTTCATTTTCAAACCCAGGCACGTTTTTTCCAAGAAAGCCACCACAATATTTAATGTCCCTCTTTCACTGCAGTCTGAGGTTACAGTTGTCTTAATATACTTTCATGGAGAGCAAATACATTTGACAAATTATCTAAGATATTATTTTATGCTACTCCAGAAGAAAAGCCAGCACCGAGCTGAAAGGTTTACTCCTTCTCCCTTTCACACTGTATTTACAATAGGCCACAAAAAAAAAAAAAATCCAACCTTCCCATGAAAATTTAAATTCCAGTTGCCTCACAAGTGTCTCATGGATGTATTTCCAGTAGAGATGCATCTGAAAAGTGCCTGCAGCAAAGCAGGCAAAAAATCTTTCCAGGTGAGTGGCAGAACAAAAGCGTGAGAATTTCTACAAAAATGAGTTCGTATCTTGTGAAAGTTAAAATATCTTGACAGAAGCATTAAACTACAAAGTGTTTTCTGAAAGGAATCTGTCTCCATGACAATTTTCACAGAGCACAAATTAACTGATTAAGGCACATAAATAAATGGCATGATAAACCAGTGATAATTATTTTGGTTCAGAAGAGAAGGCAGCACTCTGACTTTTTTCATTGATAGTTTTACACTGATTTCATCTGGTTCCAGTGTTCAACTCTGAGATCTTTCCTTCAACTCTGTCTGCCACCAAATTCAGGTTGCAGCCCCGGAGGGCTTGTATTAAGTCAGCTACCTTTGCATCCTTCCCCTTCCACGACTGCCACTGTCGAAGTGCCTGAAAAACCTGTTCAGACAATTTATCTCGATAGTCTGTCTCTATCCTCTCCAGCTTCACCTCTGGCATCCCAAGTTCTCGCATCAGCCTCTTCCACTCTCTCCCAATATTGTCATGTATGACAAGAACAGCTGCCTTCAGGAGACCTGAAACAGCAGAAACAGATCAAGTTAGCCATGTTACTAAGAAACACAAGAATGCATTTAGAAGTTGCTGGTTTTATTTCAGCAAAATGTCACTACTCTTGTTGCACTGTTCATACTGAGAGCTCTACAGAAGCCACCGGATAGACTTAGAATCCCAAAAGATAAAAGAAAAGGAAGATAAAAAGAGGGGGAAAAATTCCACCCTGGAAAGACATTTGTGTACACATTTACTGGGGTTGCTGGGGAGCGATATATACGGGGATATAACTATATATATATAAAATAATCCACCTACGTTGTTCATGCCCATCTGGCTGATCATCAGGGGCATAAGGTTCCTCCTCTTCGAACTTTGCCAGCTGTGACAGCAAATCTCCCCTATCGATGTGCTGCAGCAGCCTTCTCAGGAATTCCAGGTTGTCGTCCGCGATCTTCTGCTGCTCTATCAGGATGCTGAAGAGATCCCTGCCGCTTTGCACCGCCTCAAGCTTTCGCTTGCTAATTTTATCGCGGCAGAGGAACTTCATGGAGGAGAGCTCCGTGTCCGACAGGCCCAAGGAGATGGAGTGCAGCAGGCTCAGGAAACGATTCACGCCGCCGGGCCCCGAGCCCGGCACAGGCCGCGCGGGGGAGATTTGGGCGTCCTGTCCAAAGCCTCTGGAGGGGAAATCCATTCCTGTTTGCGCAGAGCGACTTCCCGGGAACGGAGACACCGGAGGAACGATACCGACCCGACCCGGCCCCGCCGCGATCCGCGCCCGGAACTCACGTGACCCCGCGGCTTTCCCGCCTCGCGCCCGCCCCAAGATGGCGGCTGAGCCGCCGCCCGGGAAGGGGGGGTGTTTCTGCTCCATCGCCTCCGCCTAACTTGGGGTTGGGGACCCACTGCCCCGAACACCTCCCCGGGCAAATGGGCTTGTTTGGTGCTGCTGAATGCAGAGCGTGTGTTGGAGCCGAGCTCGGCGCGGCAGGTGTCCTGCTGCAGGAGAAGCCCTGGTGCTTCAGCCCTGGCCAGGGTGCAGAATCACAGAATCACAAAATCACAGAATCAGTCCCTTGGGAAAGACCTCGGAGATTATCGAGTCCGATCTATGACCGAACACCACCATGTCAGCCAGAGCATGGCACTGAGAGCCACATCCAGTCCTGTGTTAAACACTTTCTGGGACTCCACCACCTCTCTGGACAGGCCATTCCAGTGTCTGATCACCCTTTCTACAAAGGAATTCTTCCCAATATCCAAATTAAACCTCTCCTGGTGCAGCTTAGGCTATGTCTTCTTGTCCTGTCACTTGTCTGGGAGCAGACCCTGACCTCCCCCAGCTGTCCTCTCCTGTCAGACAGTTGTGGACAGCCAGAAGGTCTACCTTGAGCCTCTTTTTCTCCAGGCTGAGCCCCTTTCCCAACTCCCTCAGACACTCCTTGGGTCCTCCAGACCCTTCCCCAGCTCCATTCCCTTCTCTGGACATGCTCCAGCCCTTCAATGTCCTTCCTGACTCAAGGTGTGACCTCACCAGCCTAAGCCCGAAGTTGGGGGAATTGTAGATTTCCTGTTTAATACTGAATCATTGGATTTCTTGTGAACACCTACCCCTATAAGGGTTAATCTCTGTGGGTTTTGTTTTTTCAAAAGACGGAAAGAAAAGCAGTACAAGGATGAAAGGTTCAGCCTGGGCATGAGGAGGCTCAGGGGGTACCCTCTCGCTCTTCACAGTTCTCTGAGATGAGCATGTAGACAGGAGGGGGTTGGTCTCTTTTCCCAATGAAAAGAGGCTGGACAAGAGGAGAGTCACCACGGGAGGTTTAGGTGGGCTATTCGGAGAAATTTATTCACTGAAAGGATGGACAGGCATTGGAACAGCCTGCCATGGGGAAGTGGTGGAGTCACCATCCCTGGAGAGATTTAAAAGATGGGCAGATGTGGTACTTTGAGACATGGTGGTGGACTTGGTTGGACTCGATAATCTTAGAGGTCTTTTCCAACCTTAATTGTTCAATGTTTTATGATTCTATAAAGGGCATTCTCCACCAAAAGCAAGAAAGACCACAACAGAGCCCTGCTCCCAAAGAGATGCCATTCCCATGGTTTCCCTGCCTGACAGCTGCCCAGGGAAGCAGGCTCTGCCCTCCCTGTGTGGCCCCTGCTGCCCCCAGAGACCTCCAGCCCTTCCCTGGAAACACAGGGCATGTAGCCTGGCCTTTGTTCCTCACAAAGATTAATTGTGACACAAAGTACCTCCTGACCTTTAAAAGGGAGGAAATAGGGTAAATGTTAAGTCCCTGTATTTTAGAGGTGACTCTTACAGAAGGTGGAAGGTTGTGAACTTAAATGGGAAAGATCAAGTTCATCCCATTGTTTTGTAGGTGCCTTTTGGCTTCTCAGCACATGTAGATAGTTCAGAAATTTCCTTGTTCCATCAGTGAGCACTGGCATGTTGATTCCCCAAGCTACCCCATTCCTAAGTTGTTTTCATCACACTTTAGTTTATTATTCTTGCAACACACTCACAGACCTATGTTCTCTCATCATAAAAAGATTTCTGACTGATAAATGAACTTAAACACTATCATCTTCCTCATCTCCATCTCCACTATCACATTCCGACATGAAGGCCAGCCCCCAAAACATTTCTAAAACTCCCACAGGCACAAGCCCTCCTTAGATAATCTCACTAGATATTTTTGTTTATTCCCAAATGCTGCAAACCGGAGGGAATTATGTTGTTGCAAGGTCTCACAGTAAAGCAAAGAGTGAGAGGAATCGCCACTGAGAATCTGAGCTGGGACAAGATGTGCCTGATTTAAGAGGGTTTTTTTTGTTTGTTTGTTTGGGTTTTTTTCAGCCCTGAATATACTTTAAACTCAAGGAAAGACATTAACCAAAAGGATAGCATAGGAGGAATATATTTGCTGTGTGCGCTTTAATTTATGAAGCATGAGTAACCCTTGCAATGGTATAAGAAGTATAAAACCCAGTTAAATAAAATTTCTTTTCAGTTTTTCTGAGGAAGGTGACTCTACAAAACATCAGGGACCGAATCACATCATGCCTGGTGATGGCAACCAGCTGAATTCAGAGACAAATCTACATGAGTGAAGTCCAAATCAGTACAGTTTATACCTTTATTCTCTATACCCTGACATGCAATTGAAAACAACATCAACTGAGATTTTAGTCAGTTCGTACAAACCTAGTGGCCAGATTCAGCACTGAAGTACACAGAGCGTGAAGATGATGCTGCACATTTGTGTAATTCCAAAGGTATCTAAATTAGTAACAAAAGTGAAACTAAAAGACACAAATCAATATTTAACTACGACTCTTCTTTTAAACTCACTCCTAACAGAAGGCAGAGGTTGATTGAGCAGGGTCCTTTCTTCTGTCTGAACCTGACTTGGATGCATTCACTGATGAAAATACCCCAGCACCTTTCTTTATTCCAGTGATTTTCTTTGGGGGTGGTTTGTGGGGCTTTGGCAAAGAAAGTATTAGGTGAGTCTAACAGATAGTAAGCACTTCTGCGTCAGAATAAAACTTAATAGAAATTATTTATTGGAGCAGCTTAGATGTCAGTGGAAGTTTCCCAGAGATGTAAGTGCTGGAAATGATCTGGTTCCTAACCAAATAATGCTCAAGTTTCTCCAGGCAAGATGAATCCTTGCAAAATACTGCAGAGGGAGCTCGGAGCCTGGGAATGCTTCAGACTTAGCTTTGAGTTCACGGTCTGTGCTGGAGGAGCAGGGAAAAGAGAGTGTGAAAAGTTTAATTTCAGCAGAGCCCTCACGGAGGTGTCAATCACCAGGACATTCAGGCAAAAACCACCCATTTGGGGACTGCAAAAATAGCAAAATGTGGGGCTATCCTGAACTTTGGGTGACTGAGGTGTGTTTGTGTGAAAACTCGGGAAGATCCTTCCTTATTTCCAGCCAAGGCAACCAACATTCTGCTGGTCCAGAGAAAGGGAGTATTTAGGAGCTTCTGTGTTTAAAAGTGAAGCAGCTATGATAATTTCTTTAATTTCCCATGCAATTCAATAACAGATAACCCACGGGGGATTTAAAATCCTCATCCTGACAGTTCTGAGACACAGATTGTGCAAACACAGACAGTGCTGAGGAACTGTTTCTCTTTTGAGGCCCAGTCAATTGTACATTTCTTTTAATACACCTACTCTTGTCTCTCAAGGGAATTCATAGCACCTCCTTTTTTCTTTGCTGTCTTCAAGAGGAGATTTTGCACACAAAAAAGTGCAACTCCTCCCTACTAGCAGAATTGAACTGTAAGAGGTTTTTAGTTTGCTTGCTTGCTTTTTTAATCCCATGGTGAATAAACTGATGTCCATAATATTTCTTAATATATTTATCCAATGCCTCTCACCCATTTTTTTGCAAAACCCTAAAATGCACATTTTCAGCAAGGAGAAGACAGTTTCTGTATTTTCTTTTGTGAATGAGTTGATCTGTACATGTTTATTTTGTCAGCTATCACCCCTCTGTTGCTATAACATCCAGACTAGAAAGAAGTGCTCTGATAAAAAAACTCATTTGCAAAGAGACTGAGGATCTTTGGAGAAAACTGTCGCTGAAAAAAGGGCCTGTAAGAAATGTCAATTATTGTAGGTTGAGAGAGAAAATTAGAAGCAGAGTGTGGGAAAAGTAAATAAGTACTGAAAAGAGAGTGAACTCTGGCATGACTAGGTTGTATACAGATAAAAGATCTGGCCAAGTAACAACAACAACAAGCAATACGTTGTTAACAGATGCTTGAACTTAATATTGAAACAGCAGAAGTGCTGATATAATTCTGTTGATACAGTTCTGTTATGTTATTGTTGGCAGAATAAGTTAGTTTAACTTTAGGGGAAGGGTAAATTGTAGACTTTTGTTTATTTGCTCCAGCTAAAAACCTCTGACTTGACTTTTTACCTATTTTTGTAGTGAATTTTAATCATACCATGGAAGTATGAAATCATTCAGACAAACATTTCACATGACAATAAAGCTGTGTGTATATATTAGCCCAGCACATCTCATTCCTCTGAACTATATTTATTACTTAAGCTCTGCAACATCAATTTTTGCACTTGGAAAAACAGAAGAGCAGAGGAGAGAGAGAGCAAGGGTTGTTTGCAGAGAAATGTCATTGTGAAATGACAAAACATCCCCAAATAACAGTGAATGATCATTAGACCTCTTTTGAGGCCCTTTCTATTTCTATTCTGTTCAGCTTCTGCTCTGTGACTGGCTGAGGGCAAAGCAAAGCAAGTTAAGATCCAAACTGGAAGTTGCTATGCATCCAGGGAAATAATCCAGCAGCTCTGATTGCCAGGCTTGGAAGCTAATACTAATTCATTTCTGCAGAATATGTAAATTTGTTCTTTATTTTCCTGGGCTGTTGTATTGCTGGTTCCTAAACCAGATAAAACCCTGAAAAGGTAAATAGTTACAACAATAACATTTATTTTCTATAAATTGAGGTGTTTTTCTTAATTCTCCTTCTTTGTATTAGAAAATACATAATTCTGAGCAGCTATAAAGTAAAGGTTAGGACAACAAAAATAATTATTTTGCCAAAAACAGACCCTTTTTCCACCACTTTGGAGTATTTCTTACAAGCAAGTAATTAGTTCTGTACTACAGGACTTCATCCTCCCACGCAAGGAAAGGTTTTCTTCCCCTTTCCTTATGAAGGAGCAGCACTCCATTGCCTGCTGCAGAGCACTGCAGCTGAAATAATGGCAGCAGGTATTT